GTCGTCGTAGCAGCAGCAGCAGCAGGAGGAGCAGTAGTAGTAGTAGTAGTAGTAGTAGTAGTAGCAGCAGTAGCAGTAGCAGTAGTAGTAGTCGTAGTCGTAGTCGTCGTCGTCGTCGTCGTCGTAGCCGTAGTCGTAGTCGTAGTCGTAGTCGAAGTCGTAGTCGTAGTCGTAGTCGTACTAGTCGTAGTAGTAGTAGTAGTAGTAGTAGTAGTAGTCGTCGTCGTCGTCGTCGTAGTCGTAGTCGCAGTCGCAGTCGCAGTCGTAGTCGTAGTCGTGGTAGTAGTAGTCGTCCTCGTCGTCGTCGTCGTCGTCGTCGTCGTCGCAGTCGCAGTCGTCGTCGTCGTCGTCGTCGTCGTCGTAGTCGTAGTCGTAATCGTAATCGTCGTAGTAGTAGTAGTAGTAGTAGTAGTAGTAGCAGGAGTAGTAATAATAATAGTAAGAAGAAGAAGAAAAAAAAAACCTTTGATCGGTGAACACTAACAAAACAAATCCACAACCCAGACTGTTGAATGCCTCATTGCTCAGCATGGTAGTAGATTTACGGCTGGGAGAGAGAAGCCCCGCGCAAGCGGCAAAAAAGGCGCTGGGAGCCGCCTCGCTCTGCTCCTCGAGGGCTTTTTGCACGTTTTGCAGCGCTTCATCTCGGCGCTGCATGCCGACCAAGGAAGACCTTTCATCGTGCAAGGAGCTTTACATTCAAGGCACAAACGTACACTTCACGTCTATGGGCGGCCAGAGCAATGACTCTAAGTCAGGCAGTGATGGATCGAAGCCTCGCCTCCACTGCATCATGAGCTGCTTCCTTAGCATGAGAGAGCATGCGAGAGCTTCCGGCTGACAGATCCCGAAGATCCTCGTAGCCCCCTCCCCTACTCCCAATGACCAGCAAAGGCACTTCTCGAACTCGATCGCTTCCATCTCCCGGCTAGCCTCTCTGAGTGTTGCCATTGCGGCCTCCGTCTCCTTTCCGAAAGAAAGAGCAACCGAGAGGGAGGCCTGAGCCCCTAAACTGCCGAGAGCGTCGCTGACCATTTGCATGGGCGCTCGAGGCTTCTATCGAGGGGAGGGTAAAGCCTCCCGAAACGAGAAAGTAGTGACCCAGCCCCGCTATTGACCTCTTGCCAGCTGCTTACATTGCGGAGGCCACATCGCCATCACCGGCAGCGTCATCAAAACCGAAACATGACCAGTCTCATCACACGATGCATTTTGACAAACATCATCCTCATCATGAGGTGGTGGCAGTGGTGGCGGTGGCGGTGGCGGCGGTGGCGGCGGAGGCGGCGGTGGTGGCGGCAGAGACGGCGGCGGCGGTCACATGGGGGATGAGGGAGACAGACGGGGAGGCGGAGGAGGAGGACGACGACGACGACCACGACCACGAGGACAATAATGATGCAGGTGAGTAGGACAGTCAATGCGTAGAGGAATTGCATAGGATCATTACCAGCTTGAGTAGGAGGAGAGTCTCGAACACACCGCATCCATTGTGACTGCTGCATCTTACAACTGCCAAGCCCGTCCTGGCGTTGTGCTGCGATCTGAGCATCAAGCAAGGCCTGCTCAAGGAGGGGCGATGATGCTAAAAATGATAGTCCCAAGCATGTGACCAGATAGTCTTTGCATAGTCACCATCACAAGGTTCACAGAGCGAACAATTTTGTAGCATTACTGGCGGCGATGGACTTCCCTTTGTCCGATGCACAGAACATCGGCAGCAACAGTACACGGTATAAGCACGGTCTAGTGATCTTCAGGGAGGCGTGCTTGGGCCTTCCGCTCAGTCAGCCGCTTGATGTCCTCATTCATCGAGTCGATCAGCAGGTCCTGCTTGCTCTTCATCTCCTCGATCTGCTTGATGTGGTCCTGGGATCGCTCAAGCGCTGTTGCTGTTCGCGTGGCAGGTCCGCATCCTTTCTGCCAAGGCTCCTCCGCCTTGTAGGTGGCCCGGCGGGTGACCTGGATCTCGGCCTTCATCTGCTCGTTGTATTCCTGAACCTGCCTAACTGTGATGTTCAGCTGGTTCAGCTCGTCCTCCCATCAGACATGAAGAGTAGGGGTGCGGATTGCGGATGGGTGCGGATGGGTGCTTCGTCCTGCGACTTGGCCAGCCTTCGCGTGGCCTCCTCCACCTCGACCTTCTTGCCTTCCCAGTCGGACGTGACATATTTCAGCTTCTCGTCGTCCTTCCATGCACGGGCTTTCCCCCGCTTTCCCTTTTTCCCACATTGGGGGGCGGGAAGTCCAAGGCTCCTCCAGGCGCTGCCCCTGAACCATAGCATACCTTTTTTGGGCAAGAGGGGCTCATTGTTATTATCATTATCATTATCATTATTATTACTATTACTATGATGATGATTATTATTACTAGGCCAACGGGGCTTCAATACACCGACTATAGACACTAACAAGCCTAAGAAGCAACGTGAACAGCGATGTCCAGAAGAGCAGCAGCATTGGTATTTACCCGCTCACTGAGAGCGGCACTTGTCATGCAGCTGCTCTAGCTGCAGCTGCAACTTGGCAAGTTGTTGCTGGGCACCATAGAGAGTAACGCCTGGTCAACGAACACTCCCCAGCTGTTTGCTTTTGTTATCGATCTTTTGTCGTGGCAACCCCCCCCCCCCCAGAGCACATCCATCTCAGCTCGCCTATGTCCTCCCGGTGCTTCACAAGCTTTTTAAGCTCCTGCGGCAGCAGTGGGTCAAAGATCTCAGAGTCGGAGTCCCGGTCCGGTAGCCGCGCCTCCTGCTTTTCTCTCAGCTGGAGGGTGACCCGGTCATTATGACCGGTCAGCTGCTTTCGCCAGGCTTCTTGGAGCCTCAAAACAGAGAGGACAGGGCCGTGCGGAGTCCGTGGCGAGGCGGCCAGAGGTGAGTCTGCTTGGGAGGCCGAGGCAAGGACCGCTTGTAAGCCGGATGGTCGGCTTTCAAGAAGGGGAAGTCGCCCTCACGCGAGTCTCGGATAATGGGAGTTGCACCTCATCCCTGCGCACGGCTTGAGGGAAGCACATCGTCCACATCTTCTCCCTCATCCTTGGGCAAACAGATATGAAGGCAAGAAGTGTCCATGTGCCTCTCTTTGCGGTCCAAAACATCCCGTGCCTGTGGGTCCGGCCCCGGTGAATCAGCCATACTGCACCTGTGATTTCAAGAGGCAGCGTGATGCAAGCGATCGCAGCGTTGAAAGTCTCTGAGTCTATCGCCACCGCTTCTCCTCGGCTCCCTTTGAGAGCCAGTCTAGGGTAGTCAGACAAATGGCGGCAATTCGCAATGGTCGTCCGCAGGATGCAGGGACATGAACGAACGCAGAAGAGAAAAGGACAAACAGCAAGACCACCAGCTGATGCATCCGCTGGCAACGCAAGTCCTCGCCTAACAAGCCAGTCTTGGCAGCCTTCGTGTTGCAGCTAACACTTTCCACCTCTTGATACACACCAGTCACCGCGGCAATCTTGCAGTTCCTGGAGAACACGCGTATTCTGTACAAAGGTCGCCTACTGATACCCTCCTGCAAATAAGACAAGTCTGGTAAGCCCAGGACTTGGAGCGGGTCCAGTTCGCAGGAGGGCTCGGGACTGGTGGTCTTCATTAACGTCTGGCATACGTAGGACGTACGGACATGCATGAAGCCATGGGCGCGGCAACGTTTAAGGCTCTCTGACTTTGTGCCGTGCATGTATTGCACGACAATCCGGTATGGACATGGCCGTTCACGCCGCATGGCCAGGTGAAATGATACAAGGCGGCAGCTGCCGAGCATGCATAGGAGGACGTGAGTAGTCCGCCGAACTACTTTATGCGCAACCAACACCATTAAGCCTCCCAACTCTCTTCATCCGGAGCCCACCCAATACAAAACCACATCAAGCAGCGATGGCTGCGCACATGGGAGGTGAAAAGATCTATGAGCTTGCCGAAGGACATTCGGCTCTCAATCCTACTCTTGCTAGCTAGTACTGCGCATTCTGAGGAGATGAGCACCATGGACACTCCTGGTCATTCGTGAAAGCTGTCGCTTGTAACTGAGTGAAGATCGCCAGCTTGCAACTGTTCGGCCAGCAGATCTGAAAAGTTCTTGATCCGAGAACCTCTGCCATTTAGTCCTGCCTTGAACATCTGCACCCAGATGTTCCAGTCGTCCCGATTCGCCGCGGAATGGCACACCTGGGGGGAAGCATGCCCTCAGCGCCCTGCACTTCGAAAGCACAACCACAGAAGCAAAGCTCTGCGAAGCTCAGGCCAAGCAACCGTGCATTCCACACGCGTTTTCTTCAGGACGGGGAAGCCCGAGATGATCTGACGATAACACGAATGCTGAACTTCTGGACGTCCATCGCTGATCCGCCCACTGAGGTGCACGCACAGGGCTCACTGACCGTTCCGCAGTGCCTCGCACTTCCAGCAGAGTTGCACGAGGCTTCAAGCATGTGCAAGACGGGGACTGCACAGCTTTTGTCTTTCTTGGTGCAGGAGAGGGGCGGGCACGTCGCTGCGCCGGTGTAGATATGCGCCCCACACCTGGCCAAACAGCCGGAAAAACTTGCAATGTGCAGATCGTGTAAGTGGAGGCAGCACTTGTCGCATGGCCGCAGGTCCATCTTCTGCTGGACGTTTTGATCCATCGACCAACCCAAAACCCAATCGCGAATCTCCTCGACCTTTGAAGAAGGGCCATGCATCTCCAAACACCATGCGATGCTCTGAACGTGGCCACGCTTCCCGGCCTTGTCATTGGAAATGTGAGCTTGCTCAGGAAGGTCCAGATCCTCAGCGCAAGCAAAAAGAGAAAAGCAATGGCAAAAGGCCTAGGCCTCGTGAGGTCGGCACGTAGGGTGAAGGAATGTCGGTCTCCATGAAGTCCGTATTATCAATCGCAGCATTGTCCGGATCTTCGATTGCATCTGCGATGTCAAGGAAGCGGTTCAGGAAGAAGAAGGACATGTTGATCATGCCTGCAGGAAGTCAACTCTCTCTTGGGATGTCAGTCAGCAAGAGAAGAAAAGCCACTACATGTCTCGCCTGCGTTTTTGCAGTCAATACCAGCGTCGTAGAACGCGAGATCCAAGGGGAACTCTGCACAGTATCCTCAGGCAGTTCGTCAGCAGAGGCTGAGTATGAAACATTATGAAACAGCGGAAGCGACAGGAGTTCCTGTATGCCAGTTTCACGAAACAGTACAGCCATGAACACGATACTAGTACCTCGGATTCGACAGGCAACTAATCACCAGGTCCCTGGCGACAGAGCGCAACGCTGATCTTCGCTACAACCTCCGGGGCCATGTTCCTCTCCCGCAACCTGCAGCTCAAGCTCGATTGCTGCGTAGCGAACTGAAGCATCTTGACTGACCTAATCATCGGCACAGCACTCACTCAAAAACAAGACCTGACAAACATGGTAGATCAGAGAGGTGAACGGGCGACTCCGATCGATCGGAAGAGGAAAATTGAAGCTAGGGCAGGCTCAGTATCCAAATGCCTCAGAGAATCTACATTGCAAGAGAGAGAAAGGACGGGCCTCTCCCGAACCGTCTGCAGATGTGCGGTCAGGAGGGCCTGCACAGGCAAGGCTTTCGAAAAGGAAGACGAACATGACTCCTCGGGCCTTCAGAAACTCCGCCTGGGGACGGCGATCTTCCGAGAGGATCTTTGGAGTGGGCGGTGCTGGCGGGTCGTCAATGCTGTCTTGAGTCTTTTCCAAAGCGTAGTGCGGTGAGTTGTGTCGCCGCACCTCCCAGAGTGCCCGGTGGCATTGTGACACGAAGCAGCATCTCCCGCACCAGCGGTGGCCCCGTTGCGTCAGGCTTGGCCCTGGGGCGCACAAAGAGAGAGCAGTGCTTTTGTCCTGCGATTCTTGTGATGGAAGCTTGGGCAGCAGCAGCAGCTCGGTGTGAATGTGCTGAAATCAGGCGAGTCCATTCATCAGCGAGATGCAATGCCAATTGCTTCCTGTTCTGTGGCCTTGTAGAGCTGGAAGTTGGACTGCTCAGGCGGTGGGCCATATCGGACCAGCATCTGCGCGGCCTGCCAGTGTTGGCACATCAGGAACCAGATCTTGGGAGTCAGGCCAAGTCCGTCCCTGGCCTCCGTGACCTCCTGCCTGTTGACCAAAACCTTGCAGTATTGCACCTGCCACGCTGCGGGCAGCGCGGAAGCTGTGTCATCACTCTTTCACGACATCAAGAGGCGCTGGAACTCCTCTCATCGTTGTTCGTTCGATTTGTATCACTGAATCTTTCCCGTAGGTACATCAGTGACAAGGCTTGAAGCTCGGAACTAGGAATGAACACTGAAATTCGATCCAGCTGTCAGACAAGTTTTCGCGTAGCTTTTATGCAGTCAGCTTCTATGAGACCATACAAACAGGCAGGGGGTGGACCAGGTAGTGGGGTAGCATCTTCGGACTGTGCTTCTCGGCCAGCGCCAGGCACTTTGTCCAGTCTCCATTGCGAGCATACATGTCCAGCCTCATCTGCAGCGTTGGCACGGGTCTCTCTGCACTTCTCGGATGTCTGGGAGCCAAGCGCGCTGTCCACGTCTCCCGTTCGTCGAATCAGCTCGTCTCCATCGCCTGTTTCGCCATCGGATCGGAAGCTCAAGCAACTCGAACAACTTAAGCTTGAAATGGCACGAACCGAGATCGCAACCTTTGCCAACCAAATCGGACTTGTACCTGCCATGAACCCTACATGCTGTACACGGAAAGGGGCAGTTTCACATGACTGTCATAGACACAGGGTCTGCAAAAGCTGCAGCAAGCCCACACGGCGCACCTATCCTCCACCACACGGACCATGTCTGGGCAGTGCTGCTGCGCCAGCTGCCTCGCTTTGTCCCAAACCTCCAGCCACGAGCACGACCAAACAACACGGTGGCACTGCGGGGGCCGCGCCATGCCTGGCCTCGCCGGCGATGTAGCAGTTCACAGCTTCGCGGAAAGCGTCGATACTTTCGTAAAGCTCTGCGGCGGCCTGTCGCTTGCAGGTTGCCACGGATCAAAAAGGACCAGAGAGCTGGCCTCAAAGCGCTGGATAAGCTTCAATCTCTTCGAGACAATCGACACGATCTCGGAGTAGCGCTCCTTCGGAGCCACCATCATCACCATCGCAGAGTCTGTGGATCACACAGTTACACGGCGCTTAGCCGCTATGACTCACAGGACCTCGGTTCTCTCACAAATTTCGCCCCCGGTCCGGCGCGTGCTTCATCGAGAGGCGCACCGCGTTTTCCCAGACCTGTCCGAAGCTCTTGACTGCGGGGCTCCCTGATAGAGACTGCGATACGGTAGCACCAAGTCGACAACATCCATAGAAGAATCTACGAAAGAACCACTACTGCCTCCACCACCTGAACCCCATGACCGAGCGAACCCATGTGCTCCCAGGAACTTCTTTCGGGCGTCTCCTGTCCAGGCTCCTGCATGAAACGAGTCCAACCAAGCACAACTGAAAAGTTGCAGCCGGTGGGTCTAAGCTGGGCTCCCCATTGACCTCGCTTCGCATGCTGCAGGGGTTCTGTACAAGCTAGGCCCTTCGCAAGAGGCCCTGTACAAGAGAGGCTGCCCGGCTGTCATCGTAGCTGAGCAGCCCTATGTTGGCAAAAGCGAAAACTCAAGAGTTGCTCACTTGCCCTGCTGCATCATCATGGAGCGCTTCTTCTGAGTCTTCTGCATCTGCGTTTCCTGAAGCACCAGAAACTGTTAAATAGACACAGAAGAACGAAGCATGTTGAGGGCCGCAGGCGTCCTCATCACCGTTGGGTTTCCAGAGCCCTCGGTGCAGGACTTCTGCCGCAGCATCATGAACCTGCACTTCCGATGTCTTATCGGAAATATTGCTGTTGATGCTCCAGGCTTTAACTGGTTCAAGGCTTCGTGACGACCGTCCGAATGACGGAAGCTTTGCTTTGCAAATGCGGGGGCCATTCGGCTTACTCAACTGCGACCGAAGAACCTTTTCCCAGCCGTGGAATCGACCGCGCTGGCTCAGCGTGCCGACGGCATTTGGAAAAGCATGATGGACCTTATTTTAAGCGCTTGTCCTGCTGCAACCTGACACGGGTTAGCAGCATGATGGACCTTATTTTACGCGCTTGGCTTGCTGCAACCTGACATGGGTTAGCAACAACAAAAGGAAAAGCAGAAGGGCGGGGAAGAAGGAGCTAAACCCAAAAACCGGCAGGCCCACTACGAACCCCACGGGCAGCAGGCACCCTGTGCCAGCCCTGTCGCTTACCTCTGCTTTGCCATTCTCTACGGCAAATCGAACCTATACTGTAACAAGCAAGCTCTTTCACGACTCGCCCGGCAGACGAGGAACCTTACGCAGATCGGCATGCTCGGGGCAGCACCACAACAAGACATGGTCGATGCTTGGCACGACTGCCTGGTTGCAACCCCAACAAAACCCTTGGCGGGCCCCACACCCTACGCCTGCCGCCAACCAAGCAGGCTAGGGCATCACCATCCCAATCGCCAGAGTCTGTCACGCTGCATCCGAGCACCCGCCACCAAACGAGTGCTGGCACCAAGACTGGCAGCTCATGCAGGGACTTAGGCTGTGCTGCACCGTGCACCGGATGTCAAGAGAGCCGCGCGGGCCTTGCCGGACACCCCATCCTCGGTGAAGCCAGCCCCAAGTGCGCAGGAGAAACGAGACCTGACTCTTCGAGGCCGGCTGAGGAGGCCTAAACCGGCAGAACGGCAGAGAGCAGCCAAGACACGGCCGACAGCAAACACCTGAGGTCTGCAAAATGACTCCACACGACGGCGCACCCAAGCTGACGACTCGCGCGGACCCTTGATGGCAACCCACCAAAGTGGCCAATACTGGTCAGACGCACCGATCGTTGGAGAGGGACCGGTGATGAGTGATGAAGGCCCCAGGCCACGCACGGAGGAAGCATCGCACGCGCAACTTGAAGCCTGAAGCTTTGCCGGACAGGATACCAAGCCGATGCGAATGCCTGTTGCACGAAACTTAGCAAGGCGAGCCTTTTCGGCTGCAGCCTGCCAGCACCGGGTGCCCAAGAACCTCATCTTCACGTTTAACTGCCGGATGCCAACCCGTCGCCGCAGCCTAAACATCGCCGCGGAGAGCGGCGCCGACACAGGTGCGATCGTCAAGAAACAGGACCTGCTTGACATCGGGGAAGCGAGGCTGACTGCGCGAGAGAACAGGTTGGAGGGCAGCCGCCAAAGCCAGGAGCGCAAAGGGACGGCAGGAGAGTCAACGCGGGGCCTTCTACACCCCATTGCCGAAGGGCACGGAGAACTCTCAGGCTCAAGACTATCGAAAAAGCCTCGTTCAACAAATCAAAAGCCGCCACCACCACCACGCCGTGAGTCTCGGCCGGGGATTCAAACTGCAAGTCCAACAGCAACACTGCGGGTCGGCAGTTGCAAATCCACCGCCATGACCCGGGGCGAGCAGAAAAGCGACAAAGCCACTCAACTGAGACGTGACGTGCGAAGCACACACTCTGCGCCAACGCAAGCACGACTGCGGCCACATGCCCGTCTGCTCGATGCAAGACAGCACCTGGCAAAGACGCTGAAGCGCAGTGGTAGGCCAGGCAAGCCGCATATCCGCAGTCCAGGCATCCGGACCAGCAGCTTTACGCTTTCATGCGACCGAGGACGGCCCCGACCACAGGCAGGGTGAGCGCCAAAAGCTCGAAACGCCCGACCGGCGTCTCCTGCAAAACGGTCGCCGGGTCACGGCTGCCATCCTGAGGGTCTATGACCAACCACGGAGGGGTGAGCGGCATTAACACACTTACGTTACACGCCGAACTAAACTCGCGAACCTCGTTTCTTCAATACACAGCTGGCGCAAAGGGGCCGCAGAGGACCTAACCCACGAAAGGCGTGCAAGCTTACTAAGCATGGACTTGCTCTTAAGCAGTTGGACTGCTGCAACCTGGCACAAGGTTCTGGAATTGTCTGTGTGGCATTCAGACTGCTGCAACTAACACAAGATAAGATCCTGTTTTTCGGAACTGCATGCAACTGTTGACGACAGTGGTACCCACGGTCCAGTTCTCGAGCAGCTGAGTTGCGTCGTGGAAGAGCATCTCGTTCCAGCGGTGCTTTCCTGCAACTCTTCCGAATCACACCTTCCAAAACCATGCACAGCTGCTGTAAAACCCGCCTCCCAGAACCATGGCCATCACGTTATGAAGGACAGGCCAGGTGCGGCCCGGATCCTGTGCCAGGAACTCGTTCCAAGGCAAGCCTGGGCTGTAATATCTTGAGGGTTCAGGGTTTAAGGTCTAGGGTGTAGGGTAACATCGGGAGCATTGTGAATTGGAATTAGGTTTTGAGACTTATTACAGTATGTTGATAACAAGGAAACCTAAGAATGTCGGTATTTATTTAGGCTTCCATATTGGCCACGGGTGCTAAACAAGTTGTAGTATTATGAGGAATCTGGGCTTAAGGCTTTAGGGTTTTGGTCGGGGTTAGGGTTTTGGGCTTAGAGTGAACCTATCTAAGACCAAACGGGAAACTCAATAAAATCCCAAATTGAAGCCGCCCAGAAGCTATGAGTGAAGTTGGTGATGAACATCCACGCCGCGGAGTAGCCGATGCGAGCGAAGACGGACACAGTGAACATGAACCGCCAGCCCTCGCTCAGAGGACGTCCCAGAGGGTAGGTGCCGAGCAGCCACACACACGCCCACAGCGAGAGCACGAAGGCATTGTGCTTGACGCGGCGTGGAATCCACTTGCTCCAGAACCTGAGCAGGAAGGGAATTGACATGCAAGCCAGCAACATGTCTGGCCTTTTTCATTGCCTTCCTGTAGCTTTGATCGGCCACCAACCTAATCGAGCCGGGAAGCTCCTTGTTGCACTTGCCACCTGCACCCTCGTCGGGGAAGTGCATCCACCACTCCAAGGCAAACAGAGAGCCGGTATCGTTCAGGCCAAAAAAATGGATGACTGGGATGAATGGGACGGTGAGCAGGTA